AAAAAATAGAGTAGAAAAAAAGCTATATAGTGGATGTATACAGGTATATTCACAGGTTACAGCAGAAGGTAGTGGAACAAAGACAAACAAAGTCAGAACAAAAATATATATATATGGATACAGCAGTAACTTAGCAGAAAATGTGATCTATATATTTAAATTTGTATGTGACTTGTGTATTAAATAGTTCAAAATGTGACCGTGACTAGTAGGATGAAGAAGGGTTTGACACAAAATCTTTTTAACCATATATGGAAATAAAAAAATTACAGAAAAATATCTAGAACATGTATTTTTGATTAAATTATGTTTGAGGGGGTAGGGTTGCATTGGGGGGATTCTGGGGAAGCTATGGCTTAAATATTGATCTTATATCAATGAAATAAAGAAAGTAGCCCAAGAAAATATACCACACATTTTTTTAATGATATAATTTAGCACACCTGTGGATCGAAAGGTGCATACAAGAATTATTTTAATTCATTTGAAAAAGCAGGGGAGAAAAAAAAAAAAAAAACATTACACAACCCTAAATTAATATCTATAACTTTAAAAATGTCTCTTTAACCAATCACAATAGTGGCCACCACGCTCAAGCCATGGTAGAAAAATCCAATGCTTTTATTTCGAAGGCAAAGTCGCCAATTTCCCGTGCGTTCCGGCTCGCGTCTGCGCAGTAGAAGCGGATTAGAGCAGGAATGACCTGTCGTTGTACGGAGACGAAAAGAGATGTTTTATTTCCCTTTCACTTTTAGTTTCTCTCGCAGGTAATGTGTTTACTTCTCTACCTGGGTGCTTAACATTTCCTGCGACCTCCAGTTGTGTCGGTAGTCGTTTGCTACATTTTGCTCATTCATTTGTTTCCTATCCGCTTCTCACCGACAGCGCTTCCTCATAGAAACCATGGCTGGTCCCGTGGCTCCTGAAGAGCAGAAATTCTGTTTACAGGAGGTGCTCGACACTTTCAAGTTGTGTCTGTCGGAAAATAAAGATGTCTATCTTGAACATTACATCGCTGGGTGGCGTGGTCTTGTAAAGTAAGTTGTTTAGGGGGTTAAATCCTTTTGGCTTTGTGTAGGAAATTACAGCATTTTTATTACTTTTTATACTGTTTATACTGTTTATAATACACTTTACACCACTGGTTTCATATCTTTTTTACTGTTGGGCCCTTTTTTTTCTATCATTAAGTAAACTGACGACCCCTGACAATGTGACATATTTTATGGATATTGCAATGTATAACAATAACAGTACTGAACAACTTATAAACTGTACAATTAACCCAAATAGTGAAGACAATAACTGCAGGAAGTTTATGTATAACAAGTTATTTCTTGTGTATATTGATCAGAAATTAGTTTTCCTGATATTTTTAGGAACTTTTTTTTATACAATTCTCTGTCTATTTTTTTATTTCACACACTTAATAGGTTTTTTTTTTTGAACTAATCCAGTGTTTTGTTTGGCACTTAGCAGGTTGTTTGAACTTAACAGAGTTAATATATCTTGTGTTAATGTACTCACTCAAAGTTTACATCTTAAATAATAATCTAAATTTAAAAAAAAAAGTAATTTAATTCAGTTTTCTCCACAGAAATGGATGAAATTCTGCAATATATAGTGTATATTTGGAAAACATTGCTCTACACTGTCACAAAATGTCACTGAGGTGTATTTTTTATAGCGATTAACAGTTTTCTTGTACATTTTCACCATTAGATGAAACATTCAAACAAGGCAATTCAAAAGACAACAGTCCATAAACAAAACAACAGACAACTGACAGACTGTTTATCCCTTTTAATAGGTTTCTGAACAGCTTGGGGAGTGTCTTTGGCTTCATTTCCATGGATGCTGTCAACAAGCTCAAGATCCTGGTCGCCTACCTGGAGGGTGAGAACGGGTCTCAGTATGTCACTATCCAGTCAATGCTCAAATACGAGCTGGACAATGGACTAGTGGACCTGACCAAGAAAGCCAGTAATCCAGAATCAGGCTGCCGTACTCTACTGAGGCTCCACCGCGCACTGAGGTGGCTGGAGCTCTTCCTGGAGCGCCTCCGCACCAGCAGCGAGGACAGCAAGACATCTGTCATGTGTGCGGAGGCCTACAACGAGTCTCTTGCCCAGCACCACCCATGGGTGATCCGTAAGGCTGCCGGCATGGCGTTCTGCGTGCTCCCAGGGCGTCTCGCTTTCCTTGAGGTGATGAATGTGGGCCCTCCGGAGAAGGTCGTCGCCATGCTCGGGGAAGCTATACCTCTTATCTCTGAGGTGTACCAGATCACAGAGGAACTCTACGCTCAACATAACCTGCTCGAGTTACCATAGAGAGCAACAAGTGCTGTTATTTTCATTTACATGATTAAATATCTACAACTTGTCCCTGCTGACGGGCTGTCGAGCTAGCTACTACTCCTGTTTGGTGGTTTAATTGTTTAATGTACAGTGTTAAATACAAATAATTAAGCATTATTCCACTGACTTTAATCTCTACCTACTGCGTTACCAGTGTTTAATATAAAACTACTGTTTAATGTTGCATGTGTATCTATCTACTCTTTATAATGCACCTCTGAATGATCTTTATAGATTGATTTGTTTTTAATTTAAATCAATGAAGGGAACTACAGTGGGGCTTAAAGTCTTTGCTCACTGCTATCTGCTGTTTGTTTTCATTATTTATATAAAAAAAGACCAAGTTGATACTACTTATTTGGTACATTAATCTACTGTTTTGTAGATGGATGCACTGTTTTGAGAATCTATTAATCGTCAAAGCAATTTTTCAAGCAAATATTTGATGGTTTCTGATTCTTTTCGTATATTTTGGGGGTTTTGACTGATTTAATAATTGGCAAATTAGTCGATAATGAAAAGAATTTTGTTGCATTTTACAACGGATACCAATCATTCTATGTATTAGAGAAATGCTGGTGTGAAATATAATAACAGGGCTATTAGGTCAGATTTGTCACATTCTCTTGCTATACTTCATTCAAATGCTAACATACTTATGCTCCTGTTACACATTGGGGATTTATTTCATCGAATGCTAGTTCATCTGATATATAAAGTATATATATATATATATATATAAAGTACTATGGCCTTGTAGTAAACATACAGATAAAAGACCACCGACAAACTGCAGCCTTACGGGACAAGTAGCAGTTTCCACACTCATCACATGCCAGCAGTCATAAAGCTATCTGGGAAGTAAAAAGCAAAATGTACTCGTAACATCACAGGACAGAAGGGCTGGAATAATGTGGATCTTTAAATTTAACACATAGAGAACTATATTTACAGTTCAGTGGCCATACCAAATGTTATGTTTTTACTTTAGAAATTGTTTTTGGTAACCTATGAAACAAAGGTTTTTAGTTGCTGACTCAGTAACGCTACTGTTAGGGCTTTACGATATGGTGAAAAGAATCATTTCGACAGGTATTATATGCGATATGAGTCCCGATTAGTGTGGGAATGATCATTTTTGCATCACAAATTAAGTTTTTAATGAGAAAAACTTCCCAAATCAGGACGGTGTGAAATGTTTGGGGTCTGTACCAAACAAGATTTGTAGGCCGGAGCATCTCTTCAGAACTACAGTGCTTCATTATAATGCTGTTGTGGCACATATTTGTCCTTTATCCAAAAACAAACTGCAGCTTCTGTGTTTTGGATATTGCACTTTCGATACTATTTCGGTTAATTGTGCAGCCCTACCTGCTGTATGTGATCTCAGTGCAATTTTTCATTTAATGTATAAATGACAAAATATGTTATTTTTTATTTGAGGTGTATTGTTTTACAATAATGTACTGTATGGTATATATTATATATATTACCCTTACTTCAAACACAGTTTATAAACAGCTTAATAAAAACAATTCCACATGGTTGATGGATGTGAATTTGTGTTATGTTCAATTTGACAATTGACTATAGATGATATGTTGTCGAAAGTAAAGGAAGTTAACTTTGATTATGTCTTATTTTTTTTAATTCTATACTAATGCTTGTGAGTGGTGGTGATCAAGTGTCCCCAGCACTTACTATTAATCCATGTGTTGACATTTGCTTAACTTCCTTCCTTCCTAACTGTTTTATGTTTAAAATAATACTTATATACTAGTACTTCTGACCTGAAAAACCGTGAGGTAGTAACTATTCCCCTTACCACAAACTGGACTTGCACATTTGGTGACAAAATATGGGAATCACCATATAAACACCCTAATAAGGGAACATTACATGTAATACAGGCTATGTATGAACAAATGTTTGTTCCTTTTGTTTGCCAAAAAGTCACTTGCATGCAACACTACAAATAGTGATGGCTTTGTTTGTTTTGCTAAGTGTTATTTAGACTTATTAGAGATTCAGGAGTTAATGCTGTCTAAAAAATACTTTCAACACCAATCAGACATACAGAGAATATTAACCGTCTGTGGTACTTGATTTGGCTATTTAAATGTTCTTCTAATTTTGTCTTCTACTCCAGTACATTTGATAACTTCAGTTACCAGTTTCTTTGCATATTTCGCTTAATAATACAAAATATAGTCTATAAACAAATGATTATTTATTTATACAGGTTAATATAAAACTTTATTGTTCCCTGAGGGAATTCACAAGCTACTAGTGCAAAAGCAATAAAGTATTTGAAGTTTACCAGCTGCAACATAAACAACTTAATGCATCAATAATATAGACTAATGTATATTATTCTGAAATAGACCATTCTGCATTATGAGTACCTTTATTTTTGGTGCTTTTACTTAAGTAAATGCTTCACTTTCTTGTAATAAAGCATTTGTATACAGTAGTATTACTAATTACTCGAGTAAATGCATCCCCAAAACTCATTTTCTGTGGCGGACTTCAGCTCAAAAAACACGTTTATAATCAATGTTGATGAATGTATGTAAAGTTATGTAGTATTAAAATGATCTAACGATGTTAAATGTGTTTTTGGAGCTGTTAAAGAGGGTCCGAACATCCCGGAATATTAGAGTTACATTATTATTACATCTGATGAATGTAGCTGCAGTTGCGCACTTTCACCACCAGGGGTCTCCCCGCCTCCAACCACATGCCGTCGTCAGGGCAACCAGACTGTCATGGCAACCTCGCTGACGCTCAAGAGGTACTTCCTGCTGAAAGTCGTGAATTGGATTGAAAGCGTCTCATAAGTAATGCGCGCAGACGGCGTTTCTTACGTTTTAACGTGTAATTTAGCTTCGGTAGCACGAATCTGCTCTTCAACACAGCTTCCCTGACAGCAGCAGGAGGACAGCAACATCAACTTACACGACTTTCTTTACTCTTTTCGTGAAGGACTGAAGCCAAGAAACCACCGGGGATCTTCACAGTCTTCTTCCATCTTTAACAGCTGCTTATCGATGCATTTAACAAGGCCAAAGTCCTCCAAGGGGCGAAGCAGACCCACTGTCAACAACTCTGAATACACAGGTGACACAGACAGCATCCAGGGGCCACCCGAGTCTCCAGACTCACCTGTGTACAGCAGGCCGGACAGAAGCCTCCGCTCCCAGTCCCAGCCCATAATGTGGCAGGCCAGCCAGCTGAGCCCGGATGAAGTTCTGCAGATGCTGCAGCACTCCCCTGCGACTCCACGGCAGTCCTTGAACAAGTACAAGGTTCTTCCCTCCATAGAGAGGAGGCAGTCAGAGGTGAGTCCTGGGCGAAGCCTGGAGAAACAGATGTCCAAGCTCAGCCTGTCTGATGATGCCCTCCTGCAGCAAAGGCACAGGCATGAGGAGCCAGATCCCCCCGCAGAGACCCAGACCAGCAGCTCCGAGGTGGACAAGAGGGCTGATGTGCACCCAAGGGTCATCCCTAAGCCCCCTGACCCGGGACCAACGCTGACCAAAGAGGCTGGTGCCACTGGGAGTTTGCTCCTAGCCGTCCGAGCGCCATGCGGTAGGAGGTTTCAGCAGCACTTTGACCCCACAGACACGCTGCAGGTGGTGAGAGGCAGTGCAGAGGTCAGGTACGGAGCCACGTATGGAGGCACTTCCATTGAGACCATGGATGTGCCACGCAGGACCTTCACAGACATGGATATGACCCTGGCCCAGTGTGGCATCTTGAACAGATCGGTGCTGTGCATCTCTCAGAATGACAGTGTGGTGGAGCACGAGTGAGCATGAGCTATTTTTAAAGTTTTGTAGTTGAAGTGCCTCTGTTAAATAAATATGTTTCTTCACTTGGATGTGTGAGAAGAAGAATGAAGTTTAATGCTCAAAGCTTCTCTGTGCTCACCTCGCCATCTGAAGTTTAAGACGTGTACATAAGAGCATGATCTTTAACCAGTTTGGAGCCAATCATTGTCCCATGTGCACCTTACAGAAGTGTGAAAAACCTCCAGTGCACCATGAGAAGTCACTCAGATATGTGTGAGATATGTATGATTTTCTACTAGTTCATTTCATTTTTGTTTTTGGAAAAAATAAACCCATATCAGACTCAAATTAGTCAAAACATCTTAAAACATTGGTAACTTGTTTTGCTGTACTATTTAATCAGAATACTTCAGGCAGGTACATTGAAATGTATTCTTTATGGCTGTTACCTGTATGGTCTTTTACTTAGACTATACAAGATTTTATCAAGAAATAGGAGGTAATTAGCAAATGAAGAACTTCAATCTGCTGTCAGTTATCAGTTCTTGATTTAAGGAGGATAATCTGGTTTATCTGTGATGTGGTTGCAGTAGTTCTGGCATTTAAAACCAAAGCATAATCAGAGATGCTGCGGACAAATGCAGCAATGAAAAGCGTTTCTTTGTTTGTCGCCATTTTCCACATCTTCTCTTTGGTGGGTGAGGTTCTTGTATGCCAAATTAAGTCCTTTCATCACAATGCGGAGGCACAGAAGTATACTCATCACTAGCTTGTCAATATAGGTCTTTTTCACAGAAGACAATTTTACACAGCAGGGAAAGCACAGACGCAATTAATAAAGTTAATGATGGCCATTATTAGTCACACCTGTTCTTTTCTTTCCAACGCATTATGAGAAAGGCCTTTTTCAAACACCTCTCCTCTCTTCTGATTAAGAACTCCTTTTATGTTTTCAGTCTGAATGGAGCCACAGAAATGACTTCTCTATAGATGAAGACTCAAAGTACCACAATAGGACTAATCAAATGTCTTTCAACATAAATACAGGACATTCATCTCTGGAAGACGTAAACAAACAATTACACACTAGTGCAGAAAATTAGGAGGTTACAGGATTCTTGTCTTTTTGCACAGATTGTATATTCACTGAAGAAATATATTTTAATTGTATATTATGTTTAATAAAGGTTCAATGGATTCATTATGGTCTTACTTGATAAATGTATTTATGTATGTATGTAATGTTTGAACAGCAAAGAAACTGAACAGTCAACAGGTTTAACATGCAACAGTATATTTATTTTTTTAGTCCACACACACACACAAACAGAGCAACAGCTCTGGCTTCACAGTCTGATGGAAACTAATAGTCAGCTACCACTAGGCTGAAATTTAATTGCATTTGATCCTAAAAATGCTTCAAGTCACTCGTAGATATTTTATCTGAACTCAACCTTGATCAAACCACGCAAACGTCTATAGATGAGACACATTATATCCCACCAAACCTACAATAATAATTCACTTCAGATAATCAAAAACACAACACTGCAAACCATCAACCGTAGCACTTTCACCACCCTTCTTAAACGCTGTTTTAACAGCAGGTGGTTGGTTTAAAGTCTCTGTGAGACAGCCCCAAAGGCTTAAGGTGACTTCAGTGATTAAAGTCGGACACATCAAATTAAATTTAAGTGGAAACTTTTGGCACAAATTATTGCCATAAAATAAGTTTGCATAGTCAACATTGGCATGCATATCCCTTCTGTAAACAATAAAAATGCAAACAATACACCCTTGAAAGAACTCAAGTCACATTTGAGGTAACACGTCTAACTGCTTCAGTAGGTTTGTGCGTTTAGCGAAGGATTCAGCTCATCAGGCTTTCCATTTCTTCCAGGTCGCTAGTATCAAGCTTCGTGATTCTCCTGTCTGTGGAAGGAAGACAGAGACGTAAAAGTCACGTTAGGATCCTTATATTTACCGTTTTACACGATCAAACTGGGAGAAACAGGAACATACTGAAGTGCATCTCAATTTGGTTGATGATATCCATGCTGTGTTTGCTGTCAACCATATTGACAGCAAATCCTCTTCGGCCAAAACGTCCTGTGCGGCCGATCCGGTGAAGGTATGTCTCATTGTCGGCATTCCCATCCATGTCCACTGGGAGGTCAAAGTTGACCACAAGTGACACTTGTTCCACATCAATACCTGCAACCAACAGACCCACAAACAGGTATGAAATACTTATACTCACCTTCAAACATAAAGATGTTCCAATTTTAAAATCAGACTTAATGTCCATCACCTCTGGAGCACACATTTGTGGTTACGAGCACTTTCTCTTTGCCGTTCCTGTAGCGCTCGATGACAGAAGCTCTCTGCTCCACGGTCATTTCCCCACTCAGCAATGCCACCTGGTGGCCCTCTTTGGTCAGGTTTGCAGTCAGCCAAGCAGCCATCTTGCGAGTCTGAAGAAAAATTATCAGCTAAACTTAACTGCTCATATTACATCCTCTCAAAAGGACATTTTTCATGGAATTAAAAAAACTGTTTTTTTGCAATAAATTTGATATCTTTCTACATTTTCAGTCAAAGCAGAGGTCAAAGTCTTAAAGCTACAGAGTTCTTTTGGTGAAACTTGTGGTATTCTCATTGTACTATGTTTTGTCTTTACGATTTAAGACCACATGTACACCTAGCATTAACATGGATAGTGTATTTTGACAAAAACACACAAAAAAGAAAACACTACCAAACTCTGCCTCTTCTTAGCCGAGACATAGCTAAGTAGTAGTGATTAAAAATGAATTCCTAGCCGTAGAAGCAGAGCTCATAGAACAGGATTGCTTCTCTTCACATGGAACACAATAGACTTGGGAAGTATCAAGGTATAACGGTAGACCAGGGTATTTAGAAATCCTGAAGGTATGACTTTCAATACCGTTAAAAACACAGGCGCTCCTCTTTCTCATGGATCAATGATACTGACGGAAAGGTCTTTTAGTTTTCTGTGTCCTCAGTTCGGATTTAAGTTGGTATTTCTGCTCAAAAGATGCTCTGTGCTTTGTCTCATAACAGTAGTAGTCACATTGCTGCTTTTATATATTAAATTCCAGAAATATAATTTAATATTCATATTCATATGTATTGATTGGTGTACAATCACCTGAAAATAAGAAATCGCAGTGTTTTCGTAACCTCAGATTGAGATGTTTTTATCTACACTTCCACTTCCATTGAGGCTGCTATGTTGAACCCACAATATCTACAGTAGCCCTGAACAGACAAACCAAACACTGGCTGTGGATAGGCTTTCACGTTTTTTTGCTGCTACGGTAGTTTCTCCTATACGCTCGGCAGAGGAGGGTGAGGCGGGTTGGTTGGTTTTTGTTTGTTTTTTACACAAATGCTGTATTAAAAAGGTAGGTAGAACCAGAATGGAGATAACAAAAACAATTCTTAATACCAGGTGTGGATTAAATGTCAATATCCAGATACAGATTGCCCAGTGAAAATATGTAACTTTTAAGTAAGAGTGTACAAAGCAGGACTTACATGGCAGAAGATCATGGCCTGTGCAATGGTTAGGCTGCCATACAAATTACAGAGCGCTGTGAACTTGTCCTCCTTCTCCTTACAGACCACGTAGAACTGCTTGATGGTGTCCAGCGTCTCCTCTTCGCGCTTCAGCCTGATAATATTGGGATCGGGAACCACCTGCTCTGCAAACCTCCACACCGAGTCCTCGAAGGTTGCAGAGAAAAGCAGCATCTGACAGTCCTTTGTCAGCTGCCTGCATTGGTACGAAGAAAAGGAGGAAAATACTGTGAATAAAAGACACTTGTTGACTGACGTGACAAAGAAAACTGTTACTATGATCAAAAGGTTTCTCTGAAAGGAAACCCGCCTATGGATACGTATGCTCTGGTCCCGGTGACCCTGTGTGGCGATCATCACATCAGCCTCGTCCAGCACAAACATGGTGATCTTCTTGGGTTCGATGAGCCTGTACTTGGTGCACCAGTCGAGGACTGTGCCTGGTGTTCCAATGACAATCTGCTCCTGCAACTTGATGCCTCTTTCCACTGAACAGAGTGCAGAAGTTCATGCAGCGATATCACCAACACTGGCTCTTAAATTAATTTAAATACCATTTTGCAACTAATTTAATCATCATAATCATAAGTATGGTTACATTCTTACTTCTGTTGCCCCGAATACCGTAGGCAAGTTTCACATCAGGGCAGTATTTCCCCATCTGCTCGATGACTTGTCCAATCTGCAGAGCAAGCTCGTATGTTGGCGCGATGCAAAGGCACTGAAAAAAAAAAATCCCCAAAGGTGAGTATATTCCAGCATCTACAAGTGAAACTGGGCACTGGCTGGTTCTGAAGATTACATTTTAGGCTTACCTGAGTCCACTTATTGGCTGGGTTTACGTGGCTGAGCATGGCCAGAGAAAAAGCAGCAGTTTTGCCTGTGCCAGACTGTGACTGGGCGATCAGATTCTGAGGTCTGGAAACAGAAAATACACAAAAAGAAGAGAATAAATCACAGACAAACCTGATGTCAGGAATGTTTAAAAAGACTTTTAGAACTACTGTGGTGTGACTTTGGCATTAAGTTAAAAAGGACAATAGTTACGGTCCATTTTAGAGCAGAAATAATTAATCAGCAGAAAATTAATTAGCAACTGTTTTGATAATCAATCATTTCCCCTTCTCTTGGTATTATAGTAAACTGATTAGTTGTGTCTATGATAATGGGATCCAGGAAACTTTGATGGGTGATGTTTTACATACCAAATAATCTCTAGACTAGTAAAACCAGTCCAGTTGGTATGATAATTCTCTGTAAAGCACCATGAATGTATGTTTGGTTACTTGAATGTGCAACAACTGGCACAAACAAGTCAAAATAATATACACCAAAACCTCCACTAAACTGCATTTAACTGCATTAGTGCTGATATAATTAGCTGCTAATGTTGTTAGTAACTGCCAGAACATCGATCGAGGGGAAAAAAATACACATAACCTTGAATTTTGTTAATTGATTTTGATATTGCGTGTAATTTCTCAAGCAAAAATGCAGTGCAACATTTGCTGGTTCCCTGCTCCTTGTGATGATTTACTGCTTTTCTCAGTTTTATATTGCTCTAAATTGAATTTCTTTTGATTGATATATTTCACCAGGAAGTCTCATTGAGATAAAAAATGCTGCCAAGTGGCTCATTTTGTCAAACCAATACTCCAAGATGAGGAGATATTACATTTACAGGGTTACAAGAGGGAAATGAGCTGCAAACATTCACATTTGAAAAGCTTGAATGAGAAAAATATTTGGCATTTCCCCTGATAAACAATTACTCAACTATATAAATTCTTAATTACAGTAATCTCCCAGAGGTCAAGTTGATGTTGTCAAGCTGCTCACCGTCAAACCAACCATCCAAAATGCAGAGATTACATTTTAATGACATAAAAAAGGAGAGAGAAGCAACAAAGTCTCACATTTGAGAAGCTTGAACCAGCAAATACTTCAATATTTTCCCTTGATAACTGAAAATTATCTAAATTGTTGATTAATTTTCTTTCCATTGACTAATTGATGAATTGATTACTTGTGTCAGCACTACTTAGAAAGAATAAAAAAGAACTCACGGCTGTGCCAACATCATGGGCAAAGCATTCTCCTGGATTCTGGATGGTCTGTTGAAGCCCATGTTGTACACACCCTTCAGCAGATCAGGCTTCCTATTGATCAACAGGTAATAAAATAACAAGAATTAAGTGTTTGACGAGGACAGGACTCACCAAGAGTGGTCAGCCATAGGTGATCCTACTGTTACATGTCAAAATGGATGCTGTGATAAAGGTCTACTGACAGCAGCAGGTCAACATAGAGTATTTCCAAGATATTTGGTCATTTTTATCAATTTTCCAGGTGTTTCCATGACCTGGAAAACGTATCCCTAAATTTCCAGGTTTTCCAGGACGCGTGGGAACCCTGGGAGGAAAAAACATACATGTACATACACCTGTTTTGAGAGTCAATCACTTTCAAAACTCACAGTCTCAGCTCCTCAAACGTCTTCACAGAGTACAGAGGAGAGGTGGGATCCCGCTGCAGAACCTCCACCTGGTTTCTGTTCCGCACCAGAGAGTGCCGGATCAGTTTATTCAACAGGGACTGCTCGGCCAGGTCCACTTTGTCCCCGTCTTTTCTCCAGCCTCCATTTTCACTCTTCTCCGGCACTATGTTGCCTGCACAGGTGGAAAAAAAAGACCACCAAAGTCCGCCAAACACCACCACAACTGAGCTGTAAAATTAAGTAGCTTGGATATGAAATAAGGGAACGTTTTTAAATACTTATAGGAGGAGGAGACAGGGTATATCTTGCTGCCCAATATGTATTAACATGGACACAAACACACACTTTTACATTAAAAAAACATATCAGTAATTGTGTTTTTAAGCCTACTTTTCACTTTTTTTCTTCCCAATCTGTATCCACATACATTATACACTTGCTTTGGCAATGTAAAACTTCTATTTCAATGTTTTTAAGCCTATTTTTCACTTTTTTCTACTTTATTTTAAGTTTTTTCTTCCCAATCTGTAACCACATACATTATACACTTGCTTTGGCAATGTAAAACTTCTATTTCAATGTTTTTAAGCCTATTTTTCTACTTTGTTTCCACTTTATTTTAAGTTTTCTTCTTCCCAATCTGTATCCACATATATTTCACACTTGCTTTGGCAATGTAAAGCTTCTATTTCATTGTTTTAAAGCCTATTTTTCACTTTTTTTCCTACTTTGTTTTAAGTTTTTTCTTCCCAATCTGTATCCACATATATTTTACACTTGCTTTGACAATGTAAAACTTCTATTTCAATGTTTTTAAGCCTATTTTTCACTTTTTTTCCTACTTTATTTTAAGTTTTCTTCTTCCCAATCTGTAACCACATACATTATACACTTGCTTTGGCAATGTAAAACTTCTATTTCAATGTTTTTAAGCCTATTTTTCTACTTTGTTATAAGTTTTCTTCTTCCCAATCTGTAACCACATACATTATACACTTGCTTTGGCAATGTAAAACTTCTATTTCATTGTTTTAAAGCCTATTTTTCTACTTTGTTTTAAGTTTTCTTCTTCCCAATCTGTAACCACATACATTATACACTTGCTTTGACAATGTAAAACTTCTATTTCTACGCCAATAAAACAACTTTTAACTGAATTTGAAAACAATTAATCACCATTTATGTCTCCTCTCACGTTTCGTGGACCTCGCACACGATCCACTTTCTTTGAGAAGTTCAACTGTTGAGAGAAAATCACACTGTTAACTAAAAAAAAAAACAAAACAAAACAAACCACAAAACTATAACTGCGTGTGTAAAGTTAGCAAAGCACACAGTGGCAGCACAGATGCTAGATAGCATGTCCAGCTAACCTGCTAACAAACGATGAGTAAGATTTTTTGGGGGGAGTTTTTTTGGGTCACCTTTTTCTCTCTCTCCCTCCCTCCCCTCCCTCCCCTACCACCCTCAACAACTTACCTGCGTGGATGGAGTTGTAGCTTCTTGAACATCGACCGCAAGAGCCCACGAATCCTCGGACATTTTCAAACATTAATTTGGCGTTTTTCTTGCGAGACAAACAACCAGTTTTTTTTATGAACACAAAAAAGTTTGGTGTCAGCGTGAATGATGTTGCGTCGAAGCGAGCCGACGACGTGCCGCTGACCCGTCCTGACCTGGACCACACCACTGATGCGGCATTCAGGAGCGTCGGAAATGTGGCGATTTTTTTTAAGACTTTAAAAGAAGAAGCAACCAATAAAAGTGGAAAATTGCCAATTATTATGCAGCTACGAGTTGTTTGACAGTGTATCTCAATATTCTGATGTATTGAGCTTAAGGTTGAAGGAAAAGTTGAAGGAAATCCTGATAAACAGCGGATTCAACCCTCTTATAACTATTTAAAAGTTGCTATTGCGTTTCTGTGTGTCTCTATTTGTATGATGTTATCTGTACAATATGTTTATAGTTGCTTTATGATTTTTTTTATGCAACTGTGAAACAAAATATCTGTTTTTAGAAGCACTTGAATGCACGGTATTATTGTATGTACGAGGCTTATGAGGAACACGTGAAGGCATCGTAGTATTCCCACCCTATGTGCAGAGTGAACCTGCTGACACACCCATTACACAATATCTATACAGACCTGCTACATGACAAGGTATTTTACCAATTCAGGCAAATAGACTGATCTCATCTTCATGAAAATGCTTTAAAAAACAACTTGCACTAACATTTCACATGGTGGAGTTTTTATAAAAGAGCATTATTCTGTTTTAAATGTGTTTAGTATTTGAAATAATGTGATAAATAATGATAATGAATCTTACTCTATTGATGTCATATGTAGTGTTTTTTTATTTGGGTTCCTAGAATCACAGTTTTAATCTTGATATGTATTAATCTGAATGAGTTGTAGTATTTTGTCAAGGTCAAGTTCATGTTTATTGTTTATTTGTAAACAATACTGTCAGATCAGAAAAGTACTTTATGAATAAAATGTATTATTATATTTATTAGAAAAGCTTTTTTTGCAGTAGGGCTGCAACTAATTATAATTTTCATTATCAATTAGTCTGCTTAATTATTTTTGATTAATTGATTATTATTTTCTATATACAGTACTAAGAGGGTTAAAGGCATTCCCCACTTAGATTTAGATGTTAGATGTTAGATGTTGAACTAGGGCTGCAGCTATTATTGTTTTGATTAATCAATTAATTGTCGGGTCTTTAAAATGTAAAAAAATACTGAAAAATATCCATCCATAAAAATATTCAATGTACACATAAGACATGCAGCACATTTTACACAGCAGATCAGTGCTTCACATAGGAAGAGAACTATTTTTATATTTAAAAACTTCAAAAGTAATTTAAGGAAAAAAATACTTTTTCTTTCTTTGATGTTTTCTTTGTCTTATGTGATCACAAACTGAATTTGTTTGGGTCTCGAACTATTTGTCAGAGAAAATGAGCAATTCGATAACATCACCTTGCACAAGCTTTATGATTTTTTTCCGGGCAATTCTTTTGACCCTTTTATCGAGCAAAATAAAATAAATAATGAAAGTTGCAGCCCTGCAGTCACTTAACCATTTAAGTGGAATTTGCCATTAACCTTCCTACAATTTGATTGTTGTAAGTGTGTGTTTGTGTGTGTGTGTGTGTGTGTGTGTGTGTGTGCTGGTGTGTGGCCGTGTCTGAGAGGCTGAGAAACAGATAGACAGTGAGGGGGAAGGAGGGAAGGAGGGAGGTGGGGGGCCTACAGAGTTTTATTGGCTGCAGGTTGATTCAATTTGGAGGCGGATGTTGAGTTTCAGCCAACCCACCAACACACACACACACACACACACACACACACACACACACACACACACACACACACACACAGACACTATCTACATTTTCGCAACTAACCAAAAAGACTTTATAAACACACATTAATTGTCATGGTAACCTCGCAAGAAAACAGATGGATCAAACCGAGTGATCACAAAACATAGAGACAGCCAAACACCCACATTGGATTTAAGACATTAAGAGCTTTCCAATCCCACCGGAGGGAGGAAGGAGAGAGAGATTATAGGTGATACGAAGGGGGACATGTAGTACTCCCTCACCCATCTGTTCTTTCAAGCCTCCCCCCCACTCTCCTGGTGTTGCAGTATATGTATTTTACTCTGATGCCTAGCTAATAAAAAAAGGATACCTGAATGGTTCCTGTTGTCATCGGTGTCAGGGAGGGCTGGAGTGAGTGGGTGGTGCTGATGCTCTGAATGTGCATCTGATGAGAAAGGGGGGGGGGTTACTAGAAGGACTGGACCCTCTGTCTCAGCACCTCTCTCTCTCTTTCTCAAAGCCCTCCAACTCCAGCATCCACAGGGAGGAGCAGGACAAGGAGAAGGAGGAGGAGGAAGAGGGGGAGGAGAATAAATGAAAAAATTTTGCAACCACATGTTGCTGTGCTTGATTGAACTGCTGCAGCAGCTCCTGCCTGCCTTCCCTTTTCTTTGCATTGAACGTCTAACTAACGATGTGGCCGCTGCATCTGTAGCTTCTGCCACCTGTGGCAGCACTCCTATTCCCTCTACGCCACAGAGAGAGAACAAAAAAAAGGGGAGCTGAGAGAGGTCGGAGAGGGGGAGGATATCTTTCATCATAAGTGGACTTCTGACAGAGAGAGATCCTCGCTGCATACCCAGCTGACACAAATGAAAGGTAAGATAATGAGACTGATGATGTGATCATATCAGATGCATTTTAATGCCGCCTGTGTGTGTGTGTGTGTCTCTTCTTGATGATGCATAAATTAAACATCCCTGTCATTTGTTTGAAATGAAGAAAAGGTTGACCAGTCGGATGATTAAAAACTACCAGTGATGCATCTTGATTTACACTGCAACAGATATCCAGACAGTGCGTCTCAACAGGTGGTTACCACAGCATCTGCTCTCCGTTTTGACACTAATGAGCGCAGAGGAGTGTGGCAATGCTGATAGGAAATGTTGAGAGTTTGACGGTTTGGTGGTCTTTTAGCAAAAAAATCCCTCCGGAGGGAAACAGGGTGACTCATGTGACTGAGCCAACCAGGAGAGAAGCATCCTGGGACTGCCACTTTTAACACTAATTACTATAAAGTGAAAGACTGTAAAGAAAAGGATTCCTTGGGGAAGAAAAAAAAAAAACGTCATGTATGAAAGCACCTTGTTATCTTATTTAGAATTTGAATTAATATCACCTTCACCTGTATAAGGTAGATGTTTAATTTAATTTATTCGTATTAATTTGTGATTATGTTTTGATGTTCAGTGTCTTTCTTATATTGCAAGCTTTAGGATTACAAGTTTTTATTGTTTTTATTAAGTCTTTTCTTTTATTCACCTGTACAAGGAGATTGTCTCCATAGAGGGATAAAGGGACATATTCCTATTTGCTTTCTCAATCTGCGGCTGACTCGACACACGATGGCACTGTTGAGACAGACAACTAAATAGTCTGTAATTACATCTGTATGACCTTTCCTTCGCCATAAATAACCACATGGTGCCTAAAACCCCAGTTTGACTAGGCTATTAAAAAGACTGATCGAATTTGTTATTGATTCTGAAGGACTTCTGTTGCCAAGGGAGTGTGTGGAAGTTGTGCGTCCGTGGAAACCAGTTGAACCCTGTTTGGATTTTCTATGTGGTAATATGATTTTGGTGGGTTGTGTGAAGGAGAGAGATCGCCTGGCGTTTTTTAATTGCAATCAGTCATAGTATCAAAAATAAAGGCACACTTGAGAGATGTTACTGGTCAGTCTGCAGGCAAGCGAGCAGAGCTGTCTCTATGGAAATTGCTTTCGTCATAACACTTCCCATCAAGCCTGCGCTGGGGCTCTGGTCGTGCAGCAGACACAGACCCTTGACAGCCCATAAGCAAGATTGCTGGTGGAGGAGACGACATTATCAGTGAAACACAGCCCCGAAGCAACAGATAATTTTATTGTATAACTTACATAATTAGTGGCGCTGCATTCCTCCAAGAGCATTAATCTTTATGTATCGTTTCTGTTTTTCACCTCACATGGCACTGGATACTGTTTTTTTCCCCTTCTCTCCTGTTACATTGTTGGTGTGTTGTAATGATGATGCCACCCTCAGTTTGTTTTATTGCTGTGACCTTTATCTCAAATACCTGCGGCACCTATCCCAAGGCTCCTTAGTTTTTGTACATCATATCACTGAAGATTATTGAGGTTGCAATAAATAAAACCTGCTCCACTGAACTGACGTCTATAGCTGTTTACATCTAGTTTTGGAGCCTGTTGAGAACCTGCTGTGTTTATAATGTTATTGCTGTGTAACATTTAAGTGCTGAAAAGGATGAAAAAAGAAAGGTTTTCTGCTTTTGTGCTCGATTGCAATTAAAGTCTTCAATATTAGATAAATTCATATGCAATTATAGAATAATCATATTAATGAATTATGTAAAAATTAGTGTGTTCTTCTAGTTTTATGGTGGGGACATTTTTATGTCACTTTTTATTTAATAATATAATATAACTTTCCGTGACAGTGGTGTTGATCTCCTGCCTCTTAAGCAAGCTCAACAACTGCTACCAGATTTAGCCAGTTAGCACCTGTTAGCAGGAGCAACAAAAAAAGCCAAAGTAATCCTGAATCAGCTAACTAGGCTGCCGTAAAAAAAAAAAGCAAAAATAATATCTCATTTTAATTATGTAGTTTAACAAGGCTGCACATGCTGCGTACCTAGCTGGCTAACTAGCTCGGTGCGGTTAGGAGCTTGGATTATTACACAACATCGAAGTGAAGATTCAGAGACAGACAAAGACACACAACTCTGCGACGATAAAGAAGACTTATGAGTGTTATTATCACAGAAAAATTCAATTCTTTCATTATATAGATGTATTTTACACAATGTATTCACATGTTTATATGTTATTTAATATTAAACACAGCTTTTTTTTCTGACACAAGTGTGTAATTATCTTTTTTTTGACATGCGTCGACACACCAGAATCCTAAAACCAGCACCATGCCTGGACTCATTAACAAGGAGAACCGGAGCGCTCTGCCCCTCAGTGTGTCAGACATCACTTCCTGTGTCAGGGGTTATACTCTGGCAATGACAGCCTCTATGACCTATGAAAATATTGAGGATCATGCAATTGAGGGTGAGTTGTGTACACTACAGGAGACTAATTTGTTTACTTCTGTTACACCAGCTACTTTTCAACTATAATCCCGCTTTATGCTCTGAAACACGCTGTTTTAAAATTCACTATTATCGACTGAATGTGTGTAATTGCTTGTTTTGCTGCCTCTGGTTCGTGCCCTTATTTTATTTTTTCCCTCTCTCCTACTTGCCTGTTAGGGATCTTCATTTATCCACTGGAAGAAAACTCTATTGTTGTGGGGTTCGAGTCAATGATATCCAGTCAGATTATAACACTGCAAATCAAAGACAAGGCCAAAATTGACGACTGTTATCTGGATTGCTGCAACACATCTAATGGAGCCCTCCAGAGTAGCAGCGGTAAGGTGAAAACCGCATGCTGTAATCAATATTGTTATATTAACAATGGATCAAGTTACTCTGTCAAATGTGAAAGGGGGTCACTCTGCAGTCCCCCCTTCAACTATAGAGCATTTTAGCGTCTTTCAGCTCATTTAGCTTGTTTTGATTTGGCGTCCTGCAGCTTCACTGCTTAGGTTCACTCTCGCTGCTATTATCAACCCTGTTTCCAGCAGTTTAGCAGCCAAAGAGCAAGATCTTGCTCAGGAGTTGGTGGAGACCTAAAGAGTACTAAAATTAGCACGCTTATTGGACTCACATTTGTCAGGGTGCCTGAAAAACAACGTCAAATGGCGTGGTGTCTGCCAATGTGTAGGCTACTGTTTGTTAGTATCAGTCATATTAACTTAAAAGGCGTTAAATGTCAGATGTCAATGGTTACATCTTGTTGTGCTGCCTCCAAGTGGCCTAAATTATTTGATGCAGGTTTAAAGGGGCACAATCTGGATATCGCTCTCTCTGCTGTTACAGTATTTATAGACATAATAATGGGTTAGGTTTACAGTAGGTAGATACAGAGGAGTGTGATATAATAATAACATAATATTAACATTATAGTGTGCTACTTCACTTAAAGCAGCTACAAGGAACTTTTTTTATGTGTTGATTCTGGCGGCCCCTGTGGACAAAAGCGGTAGTGCTTCTACCACCTTGTTTCATCTGAGACTAAAACTGAGAATTTTTCATGAGCAGTTAAAAAGTCCTTGTATTCCTTGTACGTTTAAAGAAAGAAGTAGAAATACCTTGTGTAGTATGAACTAACTAATGAGGACAATCGTTTGAAAGACCGCATTAAAAATGCAAACCCAAGGTCTTTCTAAAACCACAGCTGAGCTCCTAGTTAGAGGAGCAAGAGTGACAGCTATTTTAGAGATTAAAGAGAAGAATCAAGGACAAAAATAAAGAAGAAATTCATTGATAACTATTGGACATATACATTGTGGCAAATACATTTGGTTTACTAATCTACTCTGGTGTTACAGGACACATAGTGATGGATGAGGATATGGAGAGGACAGTGTTAGTGGTTAACCTTGGGATCATCCCTCCCATGGAGACCGTCCACATTCTGGTTAGTACCTCGTCTGAGCTCTTCACCCTGCCCAGCGGAGGCATCAGGGTCTCATCCCCACCGGTGTGTACGCCTCGGGTACAGAGGACCATCAACGAGGAGCAGGGATTATCCCCAAACTTCTCCAGAATGTAAGAAACAAACATACATTTATGAAAACCAACCATGTTGTGTCCAAAATTGGTGTATTTTAAAGTAGGATTTGGCAGTGTAAAAATTTATTTTTAGGTCCCAAATATATGTTTGTATGGATAAAAACTGACACTACTAATATCTTATATGTGCATTCAAGATGACTCCATTTTAATGTAGTTATGCTTTTTGCTACATTTAGGCGAGACAGGCATGTTTGTGCCTCAAGTCCTCACGATCAAACTCCCAACTCTGCTCAGCTGTGGTTGGCTTCACTGCTTGAGGAGGAGGCCATAAACTCAATGGACTACGAGTTTAACTTCCAGCTGGAGATACGGGCTCCCTATCTACTCGCAGGTCAGAGAATAACCAATCCTAGTAATATTTTTGATGGATATATATTTTCTTGGGGCAACTCCACTTGTCGTCTGTAGAATTACACCCATGAGCATTTCTTGAAATACCAGATTTTTCCAGTGTGTATCATGGTATAACAGGCCTGATCCGTTGAAATATCCTGTAATCAAGCATTGAATTTCAGGGCTACTTGAAAGCTCCAACGACTGCAATAAGAGGTGAAGGATTGCAGTGAAGTGCAGGAAAGGAGAAAAAAAAGCATTGCTCTTTTGTGTGTGTCTGCAGTTGTGTGTATGTGTGTGTGTTTTACAATGTCACACATTGCTGGAATGATCCGACATTTTGGGAAATTTGCTTTCATGAGTTAGATGAAAAGATTAATATCATTCTGAAGTAACACTTTATATCGAATTTGTTTAATTTGTACAAAAATGCACGTGTAAAAACGACCTTCGAACAGAGCCGAACTGTTCCCATCTGTTTCCAGTCTTTATGCTAAGCTATGTAGCTTCATATTCTTCCTACAGAGAGTGGTATTGATCTTTTCAGCAAACTAATTAAACTAATTTTAATTTAATAAATGTATTTTTCCAAAACGGTGTACTGTTCCTTTAAACTGGACAACTTTGTGATTTGAGCATCATGGAAATTCTCATGTTGGACTTGATAATGGCTCGTTGTTTATTCTCAGTGTTTGCTTAAACTGCTGCAGCACCTGAAGACACACACATACACACCCCATACACATACACAAACACACCTACACACACACACACACACACACACACACACACACACAAACAATATATATATATAGATCTTGGCTTTCTTAAATCTCTTGGAAACGTGAGCTCTTATAAGAGTGCATCATTCCAGTGGGACCTGCTGCTTTGTTATTACTTTTATTACTGTCGATGGATCCACTGGTTATTTGATCTGCTGTGGTTTTTTTTGCTCTGTGTAGGTGTAGAGAGCCCGTCTCATGCTATCCGAGCCGATGCAGACCCTCTGGCCCGCTCTGCCACCAGTGTCGTCATCACTCTGGCTGACAAGTACACCTACGACTGTCCTGTCCAAATCCTCATCTACCCCAGTGGTAGGTTTAAGGGTTCAAGACTCACTCACAGCACAGCCCCTCCAATTAGTCTTTCGTGCAATATTTTGAAATTGTTTATTTCACCTCTGTCTGCTTTTACTGATCTTTTTGTGTTGAGCTTATAATCAGATCAGTTGGGAGGTGATTCATTGCCTCACATTGTGTGTGTGTGTGAGTGCTTCATCAGGAGCAAAAAAGGTCCTCCTGTTGTTAATGTATGACATGCCGGCGGAGTCTGACTCTATTGTGTGGGTGTGCAGTGTCAGGTCTTTCTTTTAATCCCCTGTGCTCTCGTCTCTCTCTCACTGCCGTCTTGACCTATAGTATGTGTGGGCCAGTTGTCTCCCAGAGGCAGGAATGAGCCACGGCCTTGCTGATCCAATAGGCTTCTTATGAAGGTTTTGTTCACAAACAGACCTGCTGCCACTGCTGGGCAATTTAATTCAGCTCAGACTGGTGCAGCAGTTTCAATCACAACATGGATGCTCAGCTCAAGCTGAGAGATGGAGGATACTAAACAGCAGTACAGGCATGCATGCGTTTTATAACAAACAAAACCAAACAAAAAACATCAGCTGTCTATTTTCATTATCAGCTTGGTTAATTAATGGCCAGAAACACAGGCGGTGTGTCATATAAATTACTTCAGGCTTTCTGCAAGTACAATTTTAGACTTTTGTAATATCACATGAAATGCAATTTAATACATATTTCATAGTCAAGTCTTCAAAGCATGAAACACATCAAAGAAAACCTGTAGGAATAATAAGTACTAGAGTTTTTCACCAAGTGCATAGATTTATTGACATTCATAACACATTTTTGTCTAAATAAGCTGCAAGAAATTAATGCATGAATAGATTAACCAATTAAAAGATCCACATATAGATTTGACACAAGGTCAGAGGTCTGGAACAATAGTACTGAAAATGTTTTATAACTAATGTTACTGCCGACTGCAGGCTAGACAATTGCAATACAATTTAAGCCTTTTATTCTAAGGACTTTTTATGAGCTTTTCAAGGCCTGCAGATACCCTACACTGTAGAGAGATAATAGTCCAAATTCCCAGGATTCACTCAACCCTCAGAGCTAATTTTGTTGTCTCGAGACCCAGCTGTGGTACAGCATCTTTATTTGCAATCATCTCTTGATTTTCACATCAATATGGGGGATAATTGTGCACTGCAGTTTACCACACTCCTCCTACCTCGTGCTGCCACTTGGTGTCAATTTCAGGCATTGTCCATCTGCTTTAGAATCTGTCTGTAATATTTCCATCTATGTCCTGACCAACGGTGTCACTTTAGAGCCTCATCTACCGCATGTGCTCATCGAGAACGGAGACATGACGCAGGAGGAGTACGATGAATATCTTCACGGCAGGAGCGATTTCATCAAGGCCACCAAGAAGGACCCAAGCAATGGGAAGAAAGTGAGTGTGACATTGACATCAGCACCTGAACTGATGGCAACACTATCATACCAATATCACTTTGAGGGTGAGCGTGGTGAAGAATACACTGTAGTGCAATACAATTCCCTGTAACACGGACTGCCACGATTATGTCACATTATTTTGTTATATCTAACAATATTATGTAATACTATAATGTAATATAACGCGATCCAGTACTATGATACCACACGCTATGGTTTTAAAATCAATGTAGGGTTGGATCAGCTCCTGTGTGACACATGTCTCAACAAACACTAAAACATTATGAGCTACACAGAGGTAATATTTTTGCACTTTCATTGAATTCCGTTGTGTCAACTTTTGCAGGTGTCTTTTTTTCACAGCAGCCATTTTAACATGAAATAGTAGGGTAAACATAGTTATCAATGATACTTATCCAGGTTCCGATCCATTGAGGTCAACCAGGGTCAGGGTGCTGCTTGCTATTTTGCATGTTGGCTCACTGGACTAAAGGTTTTATTCATTATCATTATTTTACAAATCATTCATTACTCTGCCTTCTCTGATTATCTTGTATCTACAAACAAAATGTGTTATTTATGCTTTCTTGCCCATTTTGTTAATGAAAATAGTGATCATTTACAGTCCACACTTCAGAGGGATTTTGCAAGGTGTCTGTCTGTCCTCTATAATTTATACTTTACATAAAAAAAACATGCTACAGGAAATCTACTAATCAAAAGCTAGTCTCTTATGCTAGTTAGCGTTTATTTATATTTTCTTATATTTTCTCAATTACAGATAACAGCTAGAGAAAAATAATTAAGTAAATCTAGTTTAGTTTTAGCTGAGGCCAGTTGTGCATTTAAATTATGCATTTATATTTATATATATTTTTTTATTTTAGTTTTGACTACTTATCGTACTGCTTTTTCCCTTTGTAGGTTTAATGTTTAGACCAGTTCAGCATTATTATTTTTGTTAATTCACTTTTGAGAGTAATGCATGTGTCCTTTCTCATCCCTGCCATGATGAGGTTGTTAAGTGACCAGCAGACCGAAACAGGAGAAGGAGAGCACTTAGCCATAAAAAAGGGTTTCTATGGTAACACTCCAAAGGCTTGCCACATTCTGCCTGGAATTTCCTGCACATCTACAATAATTGATGTGCTCTATCTATTGACCTGATCGCTTGTCTCCCTTTCTTCGCCTCCTTTAAGTGATAAATTAAAGCCTGTAGAAATACACAAAAAGTCCAGTTATGTCATGGTGCCAAGTCCCTCAAGATTCAGGCTTTTTGTTTTTGATTCTTCTGCTTTTTTACAGGTAGATATCATTCACAGGCGACTCCATAAAGACATCCTCCACAACCCTGTGGTCATGTTGAACTTCTGCCCCGATCTCAAGTCTATCAGCTCAGACCTGAGGAAGGTTCACGGAGAGTTTATCTTCCTCATTGACCGCAGCGGCAGCATGAGTGGGGTTAACATCAACCGTGTGAAGGTATTTTTTTACTGTCAGTGTGGTGTTATATTTCTTGTTTATATATCACACATCATGACCAGTTTAAAGATGGTGTTTGCAGATTACACTGAATTTGTTGAAACATGTTGTAGTCGACACCGAACTCATCAAAATATACAAGAGATTAAATGGACAGCCAGTGCATCAAAACACACAATGAACACAATTCATCATTTGGAGGCTGTTTAATTGCTTTCTAGGCTCACAGCCATACGGATTCTGCAGCCTTTGGAAATTACAGATGTGGTTAGCCAACTGTGTGAAGGGCATGTACGCAAGGATATTGATCAGACAAATCATTCACTATTCACCAAATGTCCCCCAGTTGCTAGGGTGTCGTCAGCAAGTGTTTAAGGTCTTATCAGACTTAACTGACGTTTCTTCAATACCTACAGAGCCGGTTTTTTTTTTAAATGTACGTTATTTGGCTGCTTGTACACTGACCCTGCCCTGAGATGTGATGTTCACTTGTGACTCAGACTCAGGCTTTTATTGGATGTGTGTGATACATCAGAGTCTGGGCTTGAGGCTAGAACAGTGATGCAATGATTTTATTTACCACTTCTTTTAAGAAATCCTGCAGTACCTGCCCACCTATCTTTAAAAGTATCTCTAAAAACTGGAACATTACATATAGATTTTTTTAATTTTTTAATGGCCTGAACAGGGTGATACTCTCTACCCTCCCTCCTGGTTTATTGCCACCGTGTCGGGCGCTGTGCGTGCCCTGTGCCTTTCTATGGTGAAAGAACACAACCAGTGTGACAAATTATGAGGCAGACGTTAGGCACATAGTAGCAGCGTCTTAGCCATACAATATCAGCATCATCTTATTGCCCCTTTATTACTGAAGCAATTACGCCTTGTATGGAGAGGTGGGAAGAGAGAGGCAGCCATGCAGCCAGAGGAAGTGCACTTTTATCAGCAGTATTAAGCTGAGCTTCTGCGAGGATGTCAACGTTTGAATCGCCTGCAGTCATGGGTTTGTTTTAGAAAAAACATACATTTGAGGGGGCCCTGGAAGCCCACGTACCAAGGCCTTGCTGCAGCGGCCACGGGTTCGAGTCCAACCTGTTCCCCTTTAATCAGCCTTTCCTGTCTATGTTGAGCTGTCCTGTCTAATAAAGGCAAGTAGTCATTCCATATATTTATTCATTTGCGAAAATCGCCTTTTATGAATTTGGGCCCCTGCCCCTTCTAACATCCTCTACATGTCCCTGCCCTGCTGTTGAAGAGGCAGTGATGAATGAAATGACACTGCGTGATGCCACTCACTCCTCTCCTTGAGAAAATCGGCTGTTCAGCTGTGTAGATCACCGTGCTTCCATTCAGCCAGACATCAGAAGACGTAGTTGTAGTACAGTGGAAACGATCAAATGAGTCCACAGGACATTAAGTACCTAATGAGCAGAAGAGTTTGGCCTTTTTATTTTCACAGTCTTTGTCTTTTTTATTTTCTGGACATGATCTTAAACTGCTCTCGGTCTCTCTCTCAGGATGCCATAGTGGTGATTCTCAAGAGCCTTGTCCCAGGCTGCCTTTTTAACATCATAGGCTTCGGCTCTACGTTCAAATCACTCTTCACAACCAGCCAGAACTATGAGGAGGTAAAGCAGTTGTCTACTGCATTTACTGCATTATTTATTATCTAATTTGATAGAGATGCAGTGTACATTTTCTGTGCAATGTGAGTGTAACATTGTGTTAACTACACAGTATAGACACTGTAACTCAAGAAACAGCACTTTATCTTTTATCCTCCTCATCTCCACATCTCAGGAAGCCCTGGCCCTGGCTTGTGAGTATGTTAGAAAGATGAGAGCCGACATGGGGGGGACCAACATCCTGGAACCGCTCAATTGGATCCTAAGGCAGCCGATGTTCAGCGGACACCCCCGTCTTCTATTCCTGCTCACCGACGGGGCTGTCAGCAACACAGGCAAAGTTATCGAGCTGGTCCGCAGCCATGCACGCTACATCAGGCAAGTCTTACTGTCAATGCACTCTGGGCTCTGCTCTGAATGCTAGAATAAGGGAAAAAGATCAATATGTTGTTAATGGTATTGTCCTTGTCTAATAGGAATATTTGAATATTTCAAGCTGGCCTCTTAACACATTACAAAATGTACAAAATTTAAAATTTGATTCATACCTGTAGACATTATAAATACCATTCACACTGACATGAACATGTGTTAGCTGCTTGTTTTTAAGAGCATTGGCAGAGAAGTACTATATGTTGTGTCAAAGCAAATAATAATAACCTCATCTTTTGTTTATGCCCATTATGGAAATATCAAAATCTCAAGTCACGGATAACATAAAATCACATCCAGGGATTGTCAGAGGCTTAACTGGAACACCTAGTTATGGAGCTATAATCCTCCCAAAATGAGATCCGGGAACATGAATGCATTGAATGTTGTGTCAGTGTCAAACATGATATATATCACCACAAAGAATCTGTCAGATTTGTGCAGCCTTGGTTTTAGATTAAAAGAAAGCTGTTTTAAGGCTGCATCTGGAGAAAGGAAATAAAAATGCTCCCTGAAGGCTGAAAACACCAACTGTCAACTGAGAGTGAATGCCGGTGGCACAATAGATCAGCAGTACACAGGGAAATCATTTCATTTTGCAGCTTGCATCTAAGTCTCACACTGTGAATCCCTCTCCTGAGTCACTCTGGAAATAATTGACTTTTGTCTTCCCCCTTTTAATGGATGAATCTCCCCAGATGATTGCATTAGGTACACAGAGCTTGGCCAATTCATCGACACTTCCTGGGTCATTATCACACTGTGTTTACAAATCAGCGCAGCCAGTCAGAGACAAGACCAAACAACGTTGAATCTCTGCTCCGAAAATCCATGTTAGGTTTTTAACTACGTTGAAGGTGACATTTCCGTTTTAATCTGCACTCTCTGATCTCATTAAAAATGCAAAGGGACGTAGCTGGTACAATTAAATTAGCCAACTCATCCCTCAGTGAAAAATGGAAGAAAATGGTAAAGTTAAGCAGCAGCCAACCTCCCTGGATAGTTCTGAGAAGCAGCAGGCATGTCTCAGATCATTTCCTGTTCGGCTCTTTTTTATTCCAATTCTATGTTTGACAAATTAGATTGTTTATAGTTTATGTATCTCCAGAGCATCTCCTTAGATCCCTGCCAAATGTGTGCACATCCTGAGAAGACACCTGTTACCATGCGCATATATCTCTCGACCAGTCCATGGAGCTGCCGTGTTTAATGTGTTTGTGCAGATGTTATACGTTCGGCATAGGACAGAATGCTTGCAGGAGGCTGGTGCAGGGACTGGCGACAGTTTCCAAAGGAACAGCAGAGTTCCTGGCCGACGGCGAGAGGCTGCAGCCCAAGGTACTTATTTCCAGCTTTGTGTATCAATCCTAACGACAGCCAGCTATTCTGAGGGTCACTGGAGAGCCATTATGTGGTGGTTTCTTAGCACTGAGTGTCTACCACTGATACTAATTAGGAAATCATATCTCAGAGACGCCATTCGCTTTATCTACCGGTCAGGGCAAAGCTGTGTTTTGTATCTAAAAGTCTCTTTGAGTTTATTTTGCCTATTTTTTTTACCCCACAGATGATCAAATCCTTGAAGAAAACCATGTCTCCAGTTCTCAGTGACATTTCAATCGAATGGCTCTTTCCTGAGACCAAAGAAGTGCTGCTGTCCCCTGTTGGCAACACCTTCCTGTTTCCAGGGGACAGTCTGATTGGCTACAGTGTGGTTTGTGACACCACCCGCTATCACTCCAACCCCAAATCTGTAAGTGCAAGACATCTGCTGAAGGGAGACAAATGACTGCATGCAGGATGACTTTCTGTCTTCAAATTACACCATGTGTTTGTTTTTGTTTTTCAGATGTTCAGTTAGATAAATTGTTTCATTTAAATCTCTTATCCTTTACCTCTGAAATGTGTTCCTATGGAGATAAAAGGGCTAAGGCTAACTATGAAGAAGCTTTTTAATCACACCTTGTGAATGGCTCTTTGTTGAAGCACTTATTTTGGATGTGTGACCTATTCAAAATCTCAACAGGATAAGAGGAGGCGATACAGCATGATGCGCTCTATTGAGTCAGCCAGCTCTGTGTTTTACCACTCTCAAGAAGAGGACCCGGTGAAGACAAGCGCCGACAGCCATGGATCCTACAGGGAAGCACTCTCTGGTCCTCTGTATGACTCCTACCAGGACTCCATGACAGACAGCAGCCCTGCCACCACAGAGCAAGATGCCATGGGTAAGAAAATACGGTACACAGTATCCTAAATGAGTAAAATTCCAATCTGCCTACATGATATCTAGATATAAGGCCCATATTTAGCCTCTAAGTATTTCTTTGCTTGGATGAAGGTAGGATTCAAATGCAGTTTAAGCTTACAGTAGCTCAGAGAATGGTGTCAAAAGGTTTCTTGTAATTAGTGGCTATTTGTAGGACTAGTGGAGTGGCTGGACTACTGATGGCCCTCTAATGTAGCCAGCTAATGTAGTTAATTGCAAGCTCACACAATGTATATACTAGCGCTAGGCCAATAAACTGGCCAGGCCGTTATATGGGCCAGTATTAGCATGTTGCAGATATATTGCAATACTCTAAAATTGCCTGGCCACTCCAGCTGCCACAGTGGCTGTAAAATAAATTATAGAAAAGCTGTGGGGAAGTGGGCATCTTTGGAATCATTATTGTATAACAATCTTGAGTTAACAATCACTGATAGAGTTGCTCAAACTAACAATTACTTATATGTGTCTGTATTTTGAAAAATTAGGGGTTGACTATTTCTATTTTTGAACAAAACATCAGGGTTGGATTGTAAGACATCACCAAGAAGGCGTGCATACAGTACCAACCAGATAATAGACTACAACCCTGCAAAGAGGGTCTACACTCCCAGTGATCCCAGCTCTGTGGTGGCAAAGAATCCACTGAGGAGAGCCAAAGTCCAGGAGCTGATAGGCCAGATGAGCCCCGAGCATGAGGCACAATGGAGGAACGACTACCAGGTGTGGTCCCACGCTGTGCAGAGCAACATTCACATGATTGCTTTTAAAATTACCTGCTCTGGTTTTGTTTGTAAAATGGGTCAACAGGGATTTCTGATTGAGGTTAGAATTTTGTTGTAGCTTACAGACCTCAAATAAGTGCTTCCAAACTGAGCTTTCTTTAATAATACTAATCCACCTGTAGGTTTAAGTACACATATGCAAATTAAATAACCCACAGTCTGTTATGATAATTAAGGCAGGTGAATCTTAGATTGTCATTATGTGGATAAAAAATATATATTTGTATTCAGACTGTGTTGACAAATTAAACAGCCATCTGACCCTTGTCTGGACTGGAGTATAATCAAGAACAGACTAATGTGCTCTCTTTAGTAATGAGGGGCAAAATATATGACTGGTAATTAGTTTTGAATATTCCTCAGGGAGCACGTTAGTATGACTAAACATTATTCACCAGGCTGTGAAGACATTGTTTTCTTCTCTCTGTTGCACAGATGCCATGATTAATCTATATCTAATAATTGTAAGTAAATACAATAACTTGTTTGTGTATTGCCACATAAATGAAAGAAGTTCAATAAAGATATTAATTGAATCTGTGCAAGAGGGGCAAGAAGATTAAAACTCAAGACAGTATAAACAATCCTTGTTACATTCGTTTGAATAATTTTATCCTACTGCAGAAATCCAATTAATTTTAGCAGTTAGCGCTGGAATGAATTAGTCGATCAACAGACAATTAATTCTACTATTTTGATAATCAATTCACGTCATTTTTAACCAAATTCCAGCAACACTTTTATGACCTACAAATTACTACACTATACATACAGTAAAAAAGAGGGCTGCTTATAATAAGGAAGCTTACTCCCACATTTTCAGTGCTTTGTCTTACAACAATAACAGTCATTACCTCAGCTGATATTGATATGATGGGACACAAAAGCTGTTTTAGGTTCTTCTCTAACATCAGTTTTAATTGTCAGCCTACATTGTGAGCCAGAGGTACAACACTCTTTCCTAGGATTTGATCCTTTGAAAGCACATACATAATATTTAATTGTTATAGTTACAGAGGTTCACCCTTCCTCCAAAGCTTGGCCTAATGTGTTGTCACCCAGCAGCCAGTATAATGTACATACTTTTTAAATAAATGATACAACTAATTGCATTATCATTTTTTTTCAATTCTTCCCGACATGTTACTCTGTAATAACGTTACTGTACCCTCTACTACCTACACAGCAATTTCAAAAAGTTCAGTACAAAAGTAATTGAACACAAAGTTGTTAGTTACCCCCTTAATCTCTAACCTCTTGTCCATTGATACCTCGCACAACCTAAATAATTACACTTTAAATGCATGCTGTCATATAAGTATAATAAGTATTAACAAAATGTTGTTGTAATAAACTGAATATCTTTGGGATTTGGTCTGCTTTGGACAAAATGAGAAAGCTGATATTTTATAATCAGTCAAATACAGGATTAAGTGATAAAAATCACCACATTAATCTCTAATCAATTAGCTAGTTGCAACAATATTTGCAATAGAGTTTCATCAAACAACAAACGTGTTTGTACTTTCTTTACATGAGATTCCTGTTAAACACATAATCAAGAGTCTGTACTTCACTCATCACTTGAAAGCACCATGAAATACGAGCTTGAGTGAACTCACACTCAAATGCCCAGAAATACAATTAGTAGATGAGGTTCCATAACTTATTAAAAGGCTGGTTGCACCTGGGTATTTTGAATTGAAAACACCTTTATTTTGTTTTCAGCCACAGCTGGCAAGCCTGTGTGCCACATCTTCCAGCGGGCGCCCTGCCAGCTGTCACAGGCCACTCCCTCAGAAGGAGCTGCTTCTGCAGCAGGAAGTCGACTCAGAGCTTTTCCATCCCCAGCCTCAGGACAACCCTCAGCTCAGCGGCATCAGCGTGCCGCCTGTAGCTCGCAACACCACTGGGGAAGAGGGGTCCAGATCGTCCACAGACAGCCCATCTGTTGGCAGCGTTGGAGATATTGGTGAGATCACAAACACAAGCATTCTGTAGTAATTGTCTTTTCCTGAAATTACACAGACATTATGATTGTCCCTTTAAAGGCCCAGTGTGTAACATTTAGGAGGATCTCAATATAATAGAACAGAATATAGAATTTATTAAATATATTTACATTTTTCTACAATTCAGGTTGGTAGTAGGTATGTTTGATTGATATCACTCTCTCCTATGTCCGTAAAAATGAGACTACATCCGGAAGACGGTCAGCTTAGTATTAAGAGTGCAAACAGGGTGAAACAGCTGGCCTGGCTTTCTCCAAACAGAAAGACAATCAATTTACCACCATCTCCTATTTGTTTAATCTGTACAAAAACTGACATGAAAAATGATAAATTGTAGCTTTACAGGCAGTTATACATGGGCCTATTTCTTGGCTAGGATAAGTGACCTCCTGGAGTTGGTATAGATGGAACAAATTAGATATAACATGTTAATTAATGAGCTTTTAAAGTGCTGTTCGGACTGCAGCAAAGCCAGGCCAGCCCTATAAATGTGAAAGTCTGTGTGTTTCCCAATTTGCCATTGCTCTTTCAATATGAAAATGTCAAACAGTCCTCATTTATGTCCCCAGGAGTATATCGACCATACACGGTCCAGCCGTACTGTATTCTAGGTTTTGACCTAGTCGGTTAGCTGTTGGCCTCTGCTTCCAGTTTTTATGCTAAGCTTAGCTTCTTCTGGCTCCAGCTTTATATGGATTGGATAGATATAGAGTGGTATCGATCTTACCATCACTGTGAGGTTGTAAGACGACCAGCTGAGACTCCACAAAGCCACTGACATCCCGGTCAGGAGATAGTCTGACACATAAGGCCCCGTAACTTTTTTGAGTTAAACAAGCAAGATATGATGTGTTATTTAGTGAGCTTAAGAGGTGCTAGTGTGACACAGCCATACCAGCTGTTTCTCTTTGTTTCCAGTCTTTATGCTAAACTAAGGGGTATCAATTATCATCAATTAAACACAATGAGCAGTTTAGAACATACAGTCCTAATCCCAAAGTTCAAACCAAATCGGCTTTGGTCGTAACTATAGAGTAATTGAAGCAATAAAATGAAGAGCCCTTGAATTCAAACCACAGTGGATTTATTCAGTCTGATGTGACGAATGTGAAGTATCTTAAATAAAAAATAAATGGCATCCATCCTTTAGTCTGGCAGATGATTGAGCACAGAGCTGACTCTCAAGGAGGACAGGAAATGTTTTTCTAAATTTGGGAACGAAACAGAAAATTAATCAGGAGATGAATAAGGAACACATAAGGCGGCACTTTAGAAAACAATTATTGGAGGTCCATTCAAGCAGGCTGAACACAGAGAGCTTTGGAAACATAGGTGAGGGATTAATTGAACACAAATCCTGTCAACATCTGTGACAAGCATTTGGATTTTAATACAAGCTGAGTAACAAATGAAAATGCACATTCGGGAATCAAACCGTGCTCTTGTGATATTTCAGATGGTTACGGACACCAGTTATGTCAAGCAGAAACCCCACAGGAGACCCAAACATCAGATCTTAGTACAGCCAACCAGCAAAAAGGTGACTGCAAGGCCGTGGTGTCCGGACTGCTGTGTGGGAAACCAGCAAAGTGGGAGGTCGTCTTCGATATCGAGCCCTTCCTGAACGGCCGGGAACGAGAGGAAAAGGTTCACGAGGAGCTGTGGAATGAGACCTTCCACCATATGGCTGGACGCTCCATCATACACGACTTTGAGCACATGGCGCTTAAGGAGTGTGAGATTGAAAGCGGTGAGCTCTATGGGTTTATATATAAGTATATAAGTGTTTATAGGACGATTTGGGGATGCTGAGTACATTTTGAGGGTTTTAAGCCTGTAAAGACAAAACAATTTCAGTTTGACATCCAGCTGTTATATCTCTGAGCAGCTTACTGCATGTCACAGCTGCTGGCTGTTCCTTTAAGTTGCATTTCATGTGTATACAATGCATGATTCACGTATGACTCATGTACGTTTGAAATAATGTTATTAAATATTGTGTAATAACGTAAAATGTGATATTATGCAACCCTGTTACGTAATCTTTTTTTTTGCTTATTATAATTCACAGGCTCTGGGAGGAAGTACCAGCTATACGCTATTCACACCAGCAAGGCCTGCAATATACTGAGCAAATACACAGCATTCGTCCCCATAGACCTGGACACTAATGAATATTTGCCAACATGTATTGAATATATAAACCCCAGTAAGTCATATGGATTTAAAGAAGCCCTTATGCCAGCCATTGTTCAGTCCTCTCCACATGTTTGAACAGAAGATTGTTCTCAAACATAATCTGGAACCACCTTTTTTTAGTCCTTTTGTCTGTAGTTCAGTAGCTATGAGCCAGAGAGAGAGTTATCTATAATGTTACCTTATATGTGCTATTGTATCGCTAAAATTATTCTCTCGTTAAAGAAATAACTTACATTTTGGAAAATACGCTTATTGGCCTTCTTAGAAGAGAAGATTGATACCACTCTCATATCTGTTCATTCAATCTAAAACTACAGCCAACAGACAGTTACAGTAGCTTAGCTTAGCATAAGGACTATAACAGGGGGAAACAGCTAGCCTTTGCAATAATTTTAATAATTAAATATTTCATTGATTAAATGGAAAATATCATCTGGCTCAAGTTTATTAAATGTGAAGATTTGCTGCTTTACTGTTTTATATAATTTTAAATGAAATTATGTTTTGTTTTGGAGTGTTCGTTGGACCAAACAAGGCATCTGATAGTGTTGTCAAATAGCATTTTCCCTTTTTTTGGGGGGGACATTTCATGAGTCCAAACTATTAATTAACTGAGAAAATCACATTAATCAACAATGAAAATAAACATTAACTGCAGCCCTTTGTGTAAGTTAAAATAAGGGGGCTATGTGCTGGAAAATAATTGGCACAGTCACTCTTGTGTGATCTTATAGTTTTCAGCTCTGCAACACTCACCTGTGTCCAAGTACTGAGACAAAACTGATTTTGAATCAGTCTAAAACAAGCCTGGATCCGTACAGTTACAAGCCAGCTAGAAAATTGCATGCCCATTTTAAAAAAAAAAAAACAATAAAATTTTGTTTCCAGCTGAAGGTCTGAAGAGGGGCTCACATTCCAGGTCTCGTTCAGGGAGCAGGAAGAACAGAGGGTACTCCATCGGACTGGGTCGCTCTCAGTCTGGCGGCATGTCTGAGGAAGCTGAAGACATCCCGCCCAACAGTAGGCTGCATTTGATATATTTAGCTCACATTTCAATCCCTACTCATTACACAGCAGAAGGAGCTTTAATTTCTCGATCGCTGACCATACAAGAAATACAGCAGAAAGAAATAAGATATGGGCTACAGAGAAAGACTGAAGGCATCTTTTATTGAGAATGAAAGTTGTGAGTATACAGTATAGGGAATATCATTCTTTGGGGAGAAAGTAATATGAGATTTTTCAAGATTTATGTTTATTTATATTTATTCAACTCTCTGTTTTTATTTGAAATGAAAAGGTTGCAGTCTTGTATCTCCAGCACCAGGAGCTACTGTGTGAAATATTGAGCACTCAGAAAGCCACAAGCTGCTTTACATTAAAAATACTTCAACTTCAGTAAAAGGGCACAACATTTTATATTGGTTTGCAGTGGTGGCATAGCAACAGCAGGAGCTAAGACTAGCACACTGCTTGAGCATCTGCTCGGCACTACCAGTTAAAAAAAGAGGTGCCCAGTGGGAACAGATGGAGATGAGTTGCATCAGTGTTGCCTGGTAATGCTGTCTTTTATAAAACAATGTCTACTTAGGGTTTGAGAAAAAAAAATGTAAAAAACCCAAAACAAAACAAAGGAGAGCTGACAGTTATTTTTTAAAAATGTTTTTGATTATTGTCTTAGATGGAGAGGATGGCGTCTCTCCATGCAGCACCCCCTCCTCCTCTGGCTGGGAGAGATGTAACTTTACGGAGGGTAAGTAACATCAGCCGGTCAGTGAATTTGCTGTATCTCATCCATTTTCCCCTCACAAAGACCTTTGACATAAACTGTCTGATAGTCTCTTGTCATTTTCTGGGCAACACCATTGTATTGTTCCAAATGTGAAACATGAGATTATTGACATTTTAGTTCCTCTTCTCGTAAGTGAAGACAGAAGTGGACACAATTTTGTGGCTTGTATTGACAAATGCTGTCTGGACCTTTTCAAAAACACAATGAGCCCCCACTGAAGGCACAAAACACACACACACACACACACACACACACACACACACACACACACACACACACACACACACACACAGGAAGTGTTTCACCTGCGGAGGAGAGACAGCTGCGGGAATATGTGCCCTGTGCTGTCACTGTTACATCTCAGTGGGTGTGTTTTACCCTTTTTCTTATGTGAGACCCACGTTGAGAACTAAATAGAAAAGTGACAGAAAATGCCACAGCTTCTTTCTCTCTCTGTTTGCCTCGTGTGACTCTGCCTTTGTTTCTGCCTCTCTGTCTCCAAGTCTCCCAAAGGAGCCCGTCTGTGACCTCTGACCAATCACAGAAGTCGGTGGAGAGCCTTTTTTCTGCCAGGTGGGTGTGTGGAGTCAGGCTGGCTACATAAATGTCCTGTAACTGTGGCACTACAGCATGAGCAAACATAGGGACGTGTAATTATTTTTAACTGCTGTCTTACGAGGCAGATCATCTTTCTAACATCTTCATCTTTATCCATTCTGTCAGCTGATTTTGCCTGCTGTCTCGAGGTTATTGTATCAAGACACTACAGGACTATTCCATAATCAGTTGGGACAATTTAATAATGTAATGACAATTTGTTCTCCTTTTAAAAACAAGACTAAGAGTCTATAGCCATGCTGGCTGCTTTGTGAGGCTGTACTTAGGAGGCGAAGGCTGAGTGAAAAGCCAGCCTTCAATGAAAGGGGCAAGATGCCATAATGTATGACGATAATAGTACACATCATTTTCAGACAGTTTCTCCTGGAAGGCATTTATGGTGTTGCACTCAGCGGTAGACAAAAATTGCATGAAATAGTTGTGTAAAGGGAGAAAAAAGAGAGCTGGAGATTGAAGTTCAAACCACAGCTGGCCAACTGCTGCGTTAGAGTGTGAACAAGTAGAAGACTTATATATATTAAACAGCAAGTGAACATTTTGCCCTCAAAGTTGATGTGTGGAAAAATGGTTAGCGTGAGGATTTGAGAGACTTTAACAAGAGTCAAATTGTGATGTCTAGACGACTGGGTCAGAGCATCTCCAAAACTGCAGCTCTTGTGGCGTGTTCCCGGTCTGCGGTGGTCAGTACCTATCAAAAGTGCTCCAAGGAAGGAAAAGCAGTGATCCGGAGACAGGGTCATGGGCGGCCAAGGCTCACTGATGCACATGGAGAGTGAAGGCTGACCTGTGTGGTCTGATCCAGTTTGCTACATATGGGGCTGAAGAACATTCTGACCACCAGGTTGCCCAGGTGGCCATAATGTTATAGCTGACCGGTGAATTGTACAGCACATACATATCATATATAATATTAAACATTAAAATAACAACTAAAATCCTGCATCCAGCAGCATTTATATATACAATGAAATATATCATAATTCAATTCCTATTGTGTCTATTGTCTATTGTGGTGTTAGGTAGTTTGTTTATAAGGCAAATGCATTAAAAAGTCGTTGAGATATTTCGGTCTGAACCAGTTACTAAGTGACTGTGACTCACTGACGTTATTCCTAGAACCACGCTGCTAGCATGGCTTAAAATCCTCATTGCCCATAATTGATTGGCTTTAGGGAAATCTACAAAGTACGCAATGCTCTCCCTATCCTATACAGAAGCAGTAGATTAAATCAAATAGTGGTGTGTGCTTTGCATACTGCACACTGGGATTTACATCTGCTTCTCCCTCTCCTCTGTAAGGCTGGCCCTCAGTAGGACTCGTCTCCTGACTCGAGCTGCTAAAGGATTCATGTGTCGATCTCACAGCAAGTCCGGTGATTCAATTGGAGAGAGTGACAACGAGAACAAAGACTACATTCCTCTGGTGGGTAGCAAATCTATACATGTGAATGTTCTGTCAACCTGCGTGGTTTTTGATTGACATTTAGCACAATTTACGATTTAACACAATTTGGACTGTAGATTTGTCAAAAGAGACGAATGTGTCACATTATCAATATCAGTTCTACGCTGTTTTTAATAGTCTGGAGGGATATGGTGTGCAGCAGGTAAGCATGCCGTATCCTATATTCAAATGAAATCTTTGTTTGCATATTATACCCCTTTCTGGGCAAATTCATCCTGTCTCTCTGAAAGAAAACAATATAGGGAGGATGGGTAAAAAGAGGAGGTCAGTTGCAGATACCTGCGATATAATCATATACAGTATATATACTCAGTTTGAAAAGTACAATTTTGTGTTAGTAAATTAACTAACCCTAATTACACGTCATAGCATGTGATTATATAAATAATGTTTTGCTTGCATTTTAAACAATAAATACCACAAGATTCAGTATTTCTTTCATTATTAATTTTATTCTTAACTTTGGGTCTTAAGCAGTGTCCAGACCTAATGTAATTACTCTAATTATGCTGTGCATACCACCTTGTTCACCTATTATTCCTCACTTTTTAAATTTAGTAGCAAGAATATATCTGTAAAAAATGATCAGAATAGTTTCTCCGAAAAAGATTTTCCTTTCCTTTAATGACCACAGAGGTGTCCTATTGCAAGGCACCTCACGCTCAACTGCTGATTGGAGGAGGAGGTAATGAATCATAGAAGACTCTTGTTACAATATGCAGTGCAGAGCAGAATAACATCATGCACTCAAATCAGTTCATCAGGTGCTCCCTCACCTCTTATTTAAATGTTTGTCATGCATAACAAAACTACAAGTGCCACTACACCACTGATTAAAGTTTGGATCAATAACATAAGCTGTACTTTATATCAAACTCAACAATATTTCCTCTGGCACAGGTGTTGTTGCAGTTGGCTAGTGGTGCATTTCCCCTGGACGCGGCTCTGTGTGATGCCATTAACGTGCCCATGGACAAGCTGAAGTGGACGTCCCCCTTCAACAGCCACCGCACCAGCCTGGGCCACCTGTCTCACTCCAGCAGCCGCCGTGCTGAGAGTGGCGATGACGGACACAGATCACTGTGCGAGCCAGAAACATATCAGCAACCTGCAGACAGCCATTCTCATCTGTCCAGGAGCACTTGGATGGTGGATGCTGGTCCTTCTTCATTAGGAAGTCCAACCACCACTGCTGAGCCCCAGCTCTCCCCGTACTCCCAGGTGGACAGTGGACGGGGCTCTGGGTCAGGGGGCTTAGAAACAGCATCGCTCGGCGGGGCGCTAAAGAGGATGCTGGACCCAGAGAGCATGGTGTGGGCCACGGCTGTGGCCCTCGCCTGGCTGGAGCACAGCTCTGCCAGTTATTTCATAGAGTGGGAAATGGTAGCCGCCAAGGCCAGCATGTGGTTGAGTGCGCAGGACATCCCAGAAGGTCGCGACTTAGCCTCCATTAAGGCTGCTGCCAACCAGCTCTTCATCATCCTCAGACACTGGGATGAAAACCTGCAACTAAACATGCTCTGTTACAACCCTAACAGTGTCTGAGGCCTGCTAGACCAGGACTGAAAACAGAGACCGCTAAAAGTATTCAATTCCATATGATACTATGCTAACTGAGGCTGTACTATTCTCTGTTCAGCAGTATGTCCTCTGGAGTCTGATATGGCCGTTTCAATTGTGAACAATGTGTATTTCTCTTGTTTGTGTGCTGTTCCTCCAAACATATCACAGGCTCTTCAGAGGCACTATGTGCAAGCTATTACCTCGCTGGTGCCATATACTGTAGCTAGACCCCTGTAAGCAAGGGATCTAATCTGAGTTATGTCACAAATTTGAGTTTCATGGAGAAGAACGTCATTGTTAAATTAGTAGCATGCTGGATCACTGACCATCAACATCTGAGAAATGATTTTATTGTCATCATATTGATGTTATGGGGACACTGCTGCAAAACACTTGTAAGAGAAAACTATTCCACTGGTTGACACATACTGTTTTTATGTCTTTACAGCGTTTCCTAAATTGATTGTGTTGTGGAAAAATGTTACATGACAACATCTGGGTACTTGCTAGCAGTACTGCCTGTCTTTTCTAATGCCTGTTATCATTACAGTGTTAGTAATATTTGCCATTATTGCTGTTTGATTATAGCAGAGACAGAAAAATATGCAAAAGAAAATACAAAATACATGTTAAGATTTGGTTAAAAAAAATATGTGGCTTTGGTGGGAATCTATGAATGTGTATCCCACTAGCATGTTATTTACTGTTTATTATTTATTGATACATGCAGTTTATATTTTTTCACTTATCTGAGTATCAGCTACCTGTTCTAGAGTAGAGGTTTTGCTCATGCATTCGTTTTTGATTCAGAGAGAGTAACAGACCTGGAGTCGGTTGCACCATCTGTTTGAAAAAATCTAAATGAGCCTAGTTGTAAGTAAGGTGTAATGGGTTGCACCATACATAGAGATTACTACAGTTGTTACTAATACTTACACCCTGTAACTCTTAAGACTAAGTTTAGGGTTATAGGTAGTAATAATATCAGTAATCTAGTCAGATGTTTATCCCTCTAAATACATTTCTAAATTGTATTAATACACAAATATTTCTTCGTGTATGCATATATAAAGTCATATCTACATTTACATACTAAAGGATTGGCAGTTTAATATGACCATATAAAGCTGTTACTTTTGAGGATGGCTCCACCACTTTGGTCCTGACTGAAATATCAGTTTAATTTTGTGCCTATTTGATAGATCGGCACAAAATTTTGAACAGACAGACTCTGCTCACTTGAATGGGGATAAGATGACTTAATTATGCAACATTTCTAGACTTTCCAAATGTTGCTGGACTAAATGCATCAAATTCTGATTTGATTTTGAGGGGTTTGGGGGGCATTGAAAGAAATATATCCACCAATTTACAGCCATGTTACTATTAATTAATGAGAACTTAAACAGGACCATACACAAACATAGAAATTGATTTACTCACAGTTGGTGCAACCCAATCCTGAGGAACATGGGCAGCAATTTAAAGTCCTTCTCTGGGAATCAAAGAGAAAAGAACCCTGCTAGTTCTTTCATGCTCTCAGCTCATTTACCGCAAGTGCCTAACCAAGATTTAAAGTCAGCAGAAAATGTAGATCTGTTTGCTGCAGTTTATTCAGTGTGGGTGATGACTGTTTCTTTTTCTTGAATCTGTGTGTGGCCTATAAAGGCATATTTCAGTAATGATTTCCCACTTTCTTATTCCATTTCAGTGTTGCTTTACTCAGGTATTTATTAATTTTTTTCACTCAGGCTGAGTTGCATAAATCATTCTGCATGAACACAGGTGTTTATGGTATGATGTTTAATGACTGAATTGCCACATTGGAGCCAGTAGCGCAGTATTTCACTCTCTGAAATGAGAAATACAATAGATGTCATGTAGTAATATTTTTGTGCTGTAATTGCAGTAGTAAGTGCAGCTGTAATTGTTGTATTTTTACGTACTGGGTCAGTTGTATAGTGCAGTAACTTTTAACTTGCTGTGTGTGCCTTTATAAATGATTGTTGACTGTTTGAGGCTGTTGAAAGCTTCTGTAGTATCTTTATAACTGTCGATGCTATGATCTTCTCTGCAGGTGCATGTAATAAAATAACTCTACAACCCAATGTTTTGGTTCTATAGCTATTATTGCCTCACTACAACAAACGAGGGATACCTCAAGGATCAATGCTTGGACCCCCTTTCTTGGTGTGATTATCTGCTCACATGTTTTTTTGCTACAGTTACTATGCTGATGATGCCCAGCTTTACCTATCCTTCCCGTCAGATGACCCTGAAATTTAAAAGACATTATAACTGATGAATTGTGAACTTTGACGCTTGAATTTCTGGCATTGACCAATAGCAAGTCGTCTTAAAGGGGCTGAACTTTGAGGGATAAATAGTGTGATAGCAGTTAGCTCACCAGCTACAGTAGTCTGCCAGATAGTCCTGTAAGTAGTCCCTACATTACCAAGCTTATAGAACGTCATTTGCATTATATTTCCATATAATAGCAAAAAGATCAAGTCATATCTGATTGTATGCCACTCAGCTTCCTTTACAGGAATTGGTCATCTGAGGGCTTAACTACTTTAATGCCCTTATGGCAGGGCTGCCAGCCTGCACAGTAAAACTTCCTCAAATGGTCCAAAATACAGCAACATGTCTGTTCTTGCAGTGTGCAATTCAGTTCAATTCAATTTTATTTGTATAGTGCCAATGCACAACAGACGTTATCTCAGGACACTTGTCAGTTTTTTACAATTTTAAAATTATACCCAACAGGTCCTACCATGAGCCAACACTTGGCGATGGTGACAAGGAAAAACTTCCTTTAAAGAGGCAAAAAACCTTGGACAGACCCCGGCTATAGGTGGGTGGCCGTCTGCCTCGACCAGTAGGGGTGAGAGAGAGAGAGAGAGAGAGAGAGAGAGATCAAGACAGTCCGTCCAGTCAGTGAGCTTAAGTTCCCTAAGTACCCACTCACCTAACATACTCTTTCTCTTTTCCTACGCACTTTATGCTTAGCTACATAAACACTGTGGAACTTTGTGTGATAATTGAAACTGAGTTTTGTGGCTCTTATCCCTGATGGCTTCTCCTTGATCCACCTCATTTGTATCCTCATGTAACTCGGACTGAAGCCTTTGCCAAATTGCTAAATGCAAAAAAACTACCAGTAGAACCTTTTGCTCCACACTTTACACATACACATCTACTTATTGTAATTCAGAATGAACACTGTCTTCCCTAGTAGGACCCATAGTGAAAGACATGCTGTATAATTCCATCTGGCTCAATAGGTGGTGTGATGTCAAGGTGACATCAACAGCATTGGTTGTATTTCTTCCCAGAGTGATACGGCACATGCCTCATTAAGAACAAAAGCTGCCGTAATATGGCTCCTTGAAATCAAAGAGGGCACTAGTAATTAGGATGACAAGACATCATTTATACCACCCACCTTTTTACAAGGTAAAACATGCACAGCATGAGAGACAGTGATTTGAAAAGGGTGAGTGAAGGAGGAACGGAGGGAGAGAGAGACAGAAAACCGGCAGCAGCTTAAGAAAAATGATAGCTCATTACTGTTGTGCTAATAACCACCTTCACCCCTGCTTCACAGATCAAACAAACTCTAACTGTTCCTGACAGTGTACAGCTTGTGTGTGTGTGTACGTGTGTGCTCTTCAACACACACACACACACACACACACACACACACACACACACACACACACACACACACACACACACACACACACACAAAGATACATTAAATTGTGGCAAATTATTCAGGTGCATTGTGATATTACAAGTGGAAACAGCAAATATAGCAGGCCTGTTAATTTTCCCAATGCAAAGACAAAGAAAAATGACCTTATAAGAACTTTGAAGCATATACTGTTGCTAAGCTACTGACTATGAAATAAGGCATTAAAAATATAATAACGACATATTTCTTGAACTAATATTTGAATTACAATATGTTCTCTACACATGCTGTGTTTAGTGAAGTATAATAAGTATTAAGCTCAGTTTCAACTGATGGAAGAAATATTATAATTTAGATTTAGGTTTAAAAAATATCAAACCTCTTATTTAGCTCCACTCACACAACTGTCGTCATGTCATTATGTCCGTCTGACAGTGAATCTTCATTGCCAATTATTCTCTTATATTTCATCTTCTTTAACTCCTTTGGCTGCAGAACGCCGGCTGATGTCTAATATAATCCAGGCCACTATATCACGGCAGTTTAATGTGCATATAAATAGCACACAGAACAAACATAAGTAATTGCTCTGTCTGGTTGAAAGCTAGGTCGTGGGGTACAATAAATGGATCTTGTCTCAACTTTGGGGTGTGGGATGATTAGCAGTTCCCATGGAAACCGTTGGTGTTTTTTCCAACATGGTCTATCTGGAGCGCTGCAAGGACTATGGTCTCAATGATAATTTATTTTGCTTTGGTCCAAAGTAAATATATCTAATTTATTCATTTATTGACTACCTTTTGCCAAGTGTCTGGTCTAAACACACACTAAAACACACTAAACACTATCCCAAATTTTAAGCCATGAGATATGATTTAATCACACAGGGGTGATACAGGAACTGGAGTCTTTGAAAATATTGTTTTATTTGTTACATTTAGATCAGAGTTTTATCTGAAAGTATATGTATGCAGTCAAAATGATCACCAACTGGGCAAAGTGGGTAACTGCCTCAGTAAGTAGACCTGTGACAGCATCGGTCAAATTGGTTCTTTGTTATTGATCCAGTGGAGCAGGATGGCGACGGCTGGTGCATAACGGGCCAGGAGGCTCATCATCAAGGACATTAAGGTGCAGCATAATCACTGCAGGTCAGTAGTTGCCACCTCATAACTATAAAGTCATTGATTCAAACCTGTGTGTATGCGTCTGCAAGGACTGATGAGGGTCTTTATGCAGGGCAGTTTTCTTGTTCTCCTTGTGTTTTTCATCCAGGTGATTCTATCCTTACACACCAAAATATGCATTATCCTGAACAGTTACAATGGCTCCCGGGTGTCTATGCTACTCCACTGTCAGTCTCATCTATTTGTACTTTTACTTTATATTCATTTGACCTTTTATTATGGGGTGGAGCTACTCTGTGTGAATGTGCGAGTTTGAACAGTGCTTTCCTGAAAAAGACAGCCAACATAAAGGTTAAATATTCCAAAAAGTAAATATTCAGGCGCATCCCAGGACACTAGGATATAAATTATTACATGTTTTGCTTGTTGCTTCATCAGCCTCGCTCTGTGCTTGATTGCCATCAGATGCGCCTTTAAATTAACCTGACTGTACCAGGTGAACTTCAACCAATCAGATCAACAAACCATACAATGTAGTCAAACTCTTCTATTCCCAGGATGGCAAAGTCATGACCCGCTCCACTCTTTGTTGATTGGTTAGGTTTAGGCATGTGGAGTGACACTGGTTAGGGTAAAAATGTTCAGGTAAGAATGCTAATTAGTCCGGTTTGGCCACAGTATAGATTAAAGCTGATTGGCTGACTATATATCAAATATGCTTCCCTTTTCAATAACTGATTCACGATATTGCAACAAGATTACACTTTCTTTGGGCTACATTTATACATAAACATAACATAAACCTGGGCACCCTGGTGGTTGTAATGTTGTGCAGCCCCATACGCAAAAAACTGGCAGAGGCAGAGATATACTGCAAAGAATTATGCTGCATAGGAGGAGTCACTTTTTTTCATTGCAACGTAGCTGTGCACTGAGAACATGGATCAGAACGGTATTTTTTCATTGAGAGACACTCAAATATTGTGTTGGTTGACTGGAGCCTAATTGAACCAAAAAATCAATCCACCACCTTGAAAGCTAAAACCACTTTTCAGATAAAGGAAGAGAATAAATGATTCAAGGGCACCTCTCTCTAACAAGGCAGCCTTCATAGAGCCTTATTGGAGTGGGGTTCCAATTGCAGTTATTCTGCAGTATAAAAGAACTTTTATGTGTTTTGAGTGAAATACAATATGAACAAATTAGTCAGGATTAAGACTTTAATCCGTATAAGAAAGCTCTGATGCCATTCTTATTGCAGTTAATTAAATTTCAGTTAAAGTGCAGTGAATTCTACATTTAAATTAGTATATTTTGATCAAACATAATATCACTATATTATTATTAATTTGAAGATTAGGCAGCCAGTCTCCATTGTTTGTCGGAACATGATTACACAGTAATCCAATGTGCTATTCAGATCACTGTCTTGTCTGATGCGTTATTCGCCTGATTAATCTTTGTCTTAGATAATTTTTCTGAGAAAAACATCTGAAATGTTTGTTGTTTTGTGTGCAGACCAGGCTATTGTGTGAATTCTGAGGATTTCGTATCAGGGCCAATTGGAGCATGTGCAGGGAAATGTGATCTCTTTTACATTGCAAATGGTGTTCACCCGAGAGTAAATCCTGTAGGCTAAACATCTCACCTCCGTCATTAAGCCTGTGTGTAGCTCTTATCGTGCAGTTCTTCCACAGTCCTCGTGTGGCATTGAAATTCAAAACTCTTAAGTGGAAAATAATAGAGGGAATGTCTTTGATGGTTCACTCACTGTCAGTGTACAGTGACAGCTCCTGCTGATAAAAGCACTGCAGGACGAGACTGAAGGGTTTCCATGGTGTTGGACCAGAGCTGCTGCTTTCATGTTTGTAGCACAATGAGAAAGAGTAGTTTGTTAATGCGTGACTACTGGCTGAACAAGTGATGTTTTCACAATCGAGATCTTTTGGTAACATTGTTTGATTTCCAGCCACACTTTAAAAAGGTTTAAGTCAGAGTGTACGGTAAACAGCTGGCAACAAAGATTTAAAAGCACCTTTATAAAAGCCTCTGACACGTTGCACTAAAGTACATCAGACAGAAAATGTTAAAACGAGAGTCTGCATGAAGGGATGGATGGTGGAAGACGAGGAAGACGAGATGTGTTCATGTGAGGGCTGTATGGTTGCAGAGTCGGTTGTGTGAGAATTAAAATACTTCAAAATAATTCTATATAAAATTTTAGTGTTATTACGTTTAAGTTTGGCTGATTTGAGACCAGCTTATTTGTTTGTTTTTTAGG